TTGTGGACATATCTCAGCACTGGGCTCCTGATTTGGGCAGCTTTTGACCTTGAAGAGTATCCCTCTTCAGCGATTGTAGCCAATACTCTTTGGAGTTCATCCTCCTTGATATTCCATAGGTTTCCTTCTCCATAACTGAAACCAAAGAGTATCTCTAGGTGCCTGAAGGTTACCATCTTCCTCTCTCCCTTTGCCAAGAAAGTAATCCATCCCCAGCCTTTGTCCAACTCAGCTCGATCGATCTCATCGAATTGGTGATACCTCATCGATGCCAAAAATTCACAAGTGAGCTCCTTGTAGGACTCCATGCGGTGAGAGAAAAACTTTGCCAATTGCATGTTCTTGAGTACCAACTCCACATCCTCCAAGAGCCCTCATTGTGTCATCTTGTGGATACTTGGTCTCCACAAAGTCCATGGAGAAGAGAGCATTGTAGTGCTCTTGGTACATAGGGAGTTTTTCCTCCTCCTCTTATGGCTCAGCCTCATCCATGGGCTCATCTTGGTTACTATCTTGCTCACTCTTATCAACCAATTGATTCACTTCCTCTCCTTCCTCTTCACTCTCAGAGTCATCACTTCCTTCTTCATTTGGAGAGTCATCACCCTCCTCTTGAACAAGGTTTACCCCAATCTCAAACTCTCCTTGCTCACTCTCACTACTAATTGGGTCATTCCTCTTCTTGGTTCTCCTTTCCTCCCTCAATCTCTCGCTCTCAGACTCCTCCTCAGAGTAGACATATCCCTCTGCATCAGACTCTTCCATCCTTTGAGTCATTGCTTCCAAATCGGCTTGCATTTTTAGCCTTCTCTCCTTGCATTGCTTGATTCACCCTCAACCATTCTCCTTTGTGAAGCACGGCTTCCCTCACTGTTTGTCATCTTTGTTATGCTGTTTCTCCACTAAGGTTCCTGAAATGCATCAAAGATTACAAAGAATTAGAGTTGTACGGATCGGTTTGGTCAACTTGACACTCAGCTCGATCGAGTCAAAAAACTCGAGTGACAAACTCGATCGAGCTAGGTGAAAACAGAGTATAACCGAACCTAATTCAAGTAATAAGAGCTGGAAAGGATGCTAAGCAATCAAATTGAACCAAGAACAACAAGTAAATGGAACAATGAGCAATTCTAGTGAGAACCAAAGCATCTTAATCAATACCAAACTCAAATTCAATGTTTTAAATACATGCAACAAGTTTCAATGGTAAAACAGAGGTGAGGTGAGGCAATAATCACAAAACTATAAGCAGGAGAAGGACATGAAAGCAAATACTCAAGAACAAGCCCACAAGGGGCACATGCAATCAAAATAAAGGGGAAAACAAGCAATAATGAGAGGAATCGAGATGAAGGATTCAAGGGTTTTAGGGTTCATACATTGCTTGAATGATGAATTGAAGAACAGTAACTAGAGCCCAAGTAAAACAAGATGATGAACATTGAAAAATCGAAAAACTTAAGAGAGGGTGAGAGGATTTCGGATTTTCTTAAGGTGTTGATGTACTTGCATTTTACATAGTTTTAGCACATCTTTTATGCATATTTTGCATAGTTTTAGCATCCATTTGCATCATATCTTGTTCCTTTTTTCTTCTTATGCATTCATGTTAGTTTTAGGTTGCATTTGCATACATATGCATGTTTGGTCCTTTGAAATAGGTCTTTTGGAGCATTCTGGAGCAAATGGGATATGAGGAGCATGGAGGGACTTGGCACATGGACGCAGCTCAACTGGATACGCAATGGGAGAAGAGCTTGCCCCATGGCACAATCACCACTTGGGATGAATGCAAGAAGGCCTTTCTTGCTAAGTTTTTCTCCACCGGTCGCACAGCCAAGCTTAGAGGAGAGATATCCAGCTTCATCCAGCGAAACAATGAGACATTCGCAGAGGCTTGGGAGAGGTTCAAAGGCTACACAAGTCAGTGCCCACACCATGGATTCAACAATGAATCCCTACTCTCCACTCTTTATAGAGGATGCTTGCCTAGGTATAGGGAGATGCTAGACACAGCTAGCAATGGGAACTTCCTCAACCAGGATGTAGATGATGGCTGGCAACTTGTGGAGAACATAGCTAACTCAAATGGAAGCTATGGAGAAGAGTATGATCGCACCAACCGGAGCTCGACCCACCACTCGATCGAGTCAGACGAAAAGTTGAGAAAAGATGTTAAGGCATTGAATGAGAAGTTGGATAAGCTGATCCTAGCTCAGTCCACAATGAAGAAAGTCAACTTTGTGTCTGCTGAGGAGATGGAACCAGTCCAAGAAGGGGAGGATACACAATTTGCTGAGGTGTGCTACATGAGCAATGGGCAAGGAGGTTACAACAAAGGATACTATAACTACAAGTCCAACCCTGCCATGTCATACCGCAACACTGATGTTGCTAACCCTCAGGACCAAGTATATCCTCAACAACAAGCAGCTCGATCGAGTCAGGTGCCACAACATGGGTATGGACAAAAGAACAATTACCAAGGACCACAAGGCACTTTCCCTGGACAACAAATGAATATCCCACCAGGCTTCCCCCACCAACCGCCCCAGCCTGCACCTTCACAAGAGAATGAGCTCAAAGCAATGCTAAAGCAACTACTTCAAGGGCAAGCTGATGGGGTAGTGGACACAAGCAAGAAGCTAGCTGAAATAAACTCTAAGATCGAGAACCTCAACACAAGGGTTTACTCTCTGGAGAATCATGCTTCTTCTGTTGCTGCTGCTACAAAGCAAGGACAACTACCTGGTAAAGCTATTCAGAACCCCAAGGAACAGTGCAAGGTCATCTTCACTCAAGAAGGACTTGTTGAAGAAGAGGATCAAGAAAGGGTCATTGAAGATTTTTGTTTACTGCTGAATGATGAAGAGATTGTTGCTGCTGAGGCTCCTGGAGTCCAGATTGATCAACCAGAAGTGCATGCACCTACTGTGGCCATTCACACTTCACCAGTTGAGCTCGCACGACAAGCTCGATCGGCAGCTCGATCGAGTCCAACTCTAGCTCGATCGAGTCCGACCTCTTCTGTCCGACAGCCTGTTTTGCTTGATCCTTATCAACCGGTTGCCGCTTCCTCGTCTCGCCTACTTAGTCAAGGTCACAAGGAAGTGATTCACAAGTTCAGAAGAGATCTCAGTGGGATTGGAATTGAGTTGCCTACTATGGATAGCATGAGTGAGGCATTTGATCAAATGCAAATGGTCAAGGATGTTATAGCCAACAGTGATAAAGTTTCAGAGGTCCTACAAGAGTCTACTCATCAGTTCAACCTGCTTACTTCACCCACCTTCCTACCAAAGGTCAAGGATCAAGGGAAATTCACTCTCCCTTGCACACTTGGGCATCTTGAGATTGACAATGCCTTAGTGGATTCTGGAGCAAGCATCAATCTGATCTCTCTCTCCATGGCAGAGAAGCTAGGCATTGCTGGAGCCTTGCAGCGCCCTACTACTTCAATCATGTTTGGAGATGCAACTTCTAAGTCTCCTCTTGGAGTGTTCAAGAACTATCACTTGAAAATTGGAGAATGCATCATCCAAACTGATCTCACTGTGATGGAAATGGAAGAAGAGAAGGATTTGCCTTTGTTATTGGGAACCCCTTTCCTTAGTACAGTTGGCGCTTCAATAGACTTTCACAAGCAAGAAGTGATCCTTCACAAGGTGAATAGTTTGGTGTCATATCGCTTGCAGCCTAGAGGTTCAGACTTTTGTGCCACAATTGACAGTACCAATCTCAGTTCTAAGAGTCATGGAGCTACAAAGGTTGTGAAGGAAAGGGTTGACAAGGAACCAAGAGTTGGGAAGGATAAGGATGAGAGAGGACCAAGGATTGAGAAGCCACGTCTTGAGAGGGCTAGAGTTGAGAAACCACGATCTGATAGGCCAAGAGCTGAGAGACTTGTTCAAGCCCCTTGTGTGCTTGATGAAGAGAGCCTTCAAGCTTTGTTTGATGAGCCACTAGGAAGGGCTCTAAAAGAAGGGGAGGATGCAGCCTCTAAGGCAAGACCAGGGATAAAAGAAAGGATCCACCAGCTCAGGCCCCTTCAGTCAAGCCATCTCAGCTCACAATGACTTTGTTCCCCACCAAGTTTGAAAATGGGAAGATTGAGTACAAGATAAGGTACAAGGGGAGATCAAGGCCATTCTCTAGAGCCAAGGCCTTGGTGACTTCAGAACAGTCCAGGGACCCAACCAAGCTAAAGGAGCTTCTGTCTCAAGTCCTCACTATCACCCTTGATGGTGGGACTAGCTCAACCAATGCCTAAGAAGGTAAAGGTCAAGCTATGGGACCTTAAACAAGCTCACTTGGGAGGAAGTCCCATGTTTATCCTTGTACATACTCTATTTATGCAATTTCTATCTATCTTTATGTTTTAACCTTTGAATAAGTTAAGTTTAGGTGTCAAAGGAGCCAGCTCGACCGATAGCTCGATCGAGCTAGAAACCAGGGCAACTCGATCGAGCTACACAACTCGACCGAGGTAAGTTTTTGAATTTCAAATTCATAACCGTTTTCTTGGTCAAGGGAGTGGGTCCCACAAGCTGATTTTGGTCCCCCACTACCCTAATTTGATCAGAGAATCCCTAGTTTCTTGTTCCCTCTTTATTTCATCTTTTAATCTCAACCACACATCTCAAACACCCCTCTTCCCCATAACTCGATCGAATCCACCTCTCTCTCTCCCACACTCTTAAAATTTCTGAAATCTCCTCTCTCTCTTCACCACAAGAAAATTTCGAATTTTCTCTCTTTCTCTCTTAAGTTTTTGCGATTTCTTGTTCATCTTGTTTTGCTTGGGTTTTGTTTACTGCTCTTCAATTCCATCATTCAACAAGGTATGAACCCTAAAACCCTTCATTCATCCATCTCGATTTCAACTATTGCTTGTTTCCTTTGATTTTTGATTGCATGTGTCCCTTGTGGACTTGTTCTTGAGTAATTGCCCTCATATTTCGCCTCTGCTGTATAATCTTGTTAATTTGTTTCACCTCACCTCTGTTTTGCCTTTAAACTTGTTGCATGTGCTTGAAGGATTGAATTTGAGTTTGGTTTTGGTTAAGATGCTTAGTACTTCTCTATAGTTGCTCATTGTTCCATTTACTAGTTGTTCTTGGTTCAATTTGATTGATTAGCATCTTTTCCAGCTCTTAATCTTGAATTAGGTTTGGTTATACTCTGTTTTCACCCAACTCGATCGAGTTTGTCACTCGAGTTTTTTGACTCGATCGAGCTGGGTGTCGAGTTGACCAAACCGATCATTACAACTCTAATTCTTTGTAATCTTTGATGCATTTCAGGTACTTTAGTGAAGAAACAGAGTAACAAGGATGACAAACAGTGAGGGAAGCCGCGCTTCACAGAGGAGAATGGTTGAGGGTGAGTCAAGCAATGCAAGAGAGACAAGGCTTAAGATGCAAGCCGATTTGGAGAGGATGGATCAGAGGATGGAAGAATCTGATGCAGAGGAGTATGTCTACTCTGAGGAACAGTCTGAGAGTGAGAGGCTGAGGGAAGAAAGGAGAACCAAGAAGAGGAATGACCCTATAAGTAGTGAGAGTGAGCAAGGGGAGTTTGAGATTGGAGTGAACCTTGTTCAAGAGGGGGAAATGGCTCTCCAAATGAGGAAGGCAGTGAGGAAACTGAGAGTGATGAGGAAGGAGAAGAGGTGAACCAATTGGTTGATGAAGATGACCAAGAGGGGAACCAAGATGAGCCAATGGAAGAGGCTGAGGAAGAGCAAGAGGAGGATGAGCTCCCCATGTACCAAGAGCACTACAATGCTCTCTTCTCCATGGACTTTGTGGAGACTAAGCACCCACACGATGACACCATGAGAGATCTTGGTATCTTTGAGGATGTGGAGTTGGTGCTCAAGAACATGCAATTGGGGAAGTTCTTCTCTCACCGCATGGAGTCTTACAAGGAGTTGACTTGTGAGTTTTTGGCGTCGATGAAGCATCACGAGTTTGATGAGCTCGATCGAGCTGAGTTGGACCGAGGCTGGGGGTACATAACTTTCCTAGCAAAGGGAGAGAAGAAGATGGTGACCTTTAGGCAGCTTGAGATACTGTTTGGGTTCACCTATGGAGAAGGTAACCTATGGAACATCAAGGAAGAAGAACTCCAAAGAGTATGGGCTACAATAGCTGAAGAGGGGTACTCTTCCTCAAGGTCCAAGGCTGCCCAGATCAGAAGTCCTGTGCTTAGATATGTCCACAAGGCTCTTGCAAACACCTTCTTTGCAAGGAAAGCCACTGGAACAATCAATGAGGGAGAAGTGAAGCTCCTTACCATGGGAATCAAGCCTATCATCTCACGAACTAGGGATGGGAAGAAGATCAGAGGAGACAGGGCACACGCAGGGAATCTCATGCCTCTCCTTGAGCAGCTCCAAGCCTACAAGGTCACAGCTTACAACACTAGGCACCAAAGAGGAAGAAAGCTTAGTGTTGGAGGGGTGATCACACCAATTCTTTGTGCAGCAGGAGTTCAAGTGGACAAGAGAAGGTCTACTCCACCAGGTTGGATGGACATCAAGTTTTGCAAGACCAACCTCCTCATTGAGCACAAGGAGTTGGATGGGAGATTCCAATTCAAGTTCACCCACCCCACGGCTGGACTCTCCAAGCTTCTTCTGCCCAACCCTGAGCTCACCACGGTCCTAGGAGGTACAAACATTGACTTCAGACCCCCTGTGTACACTTTGGTTGGGCATGAAGCGGATTTGCAAGAAGAAGAGATCGAGCTCGATCGAGCTGAGGATCGAGCTGAGGCTCAAGCTGAAGATGGAGTGCAGGAAAGCGCTGATTTGGGTGAGCCTGAGTGCTATTACTTTGAGGAGTATGAGGCTCCAAGGATGAACCCCTCTGTTGTGGCTGCCCACAAGAGGATTGGACTTCTCCAAAAGTTCAACAAATGGCAAGGGAAAGCCATTGAGAAGATGCAAAAGTCCATGGACAAGATGGTGAGCAAGATCAAGAGCTTGAGAAGAAGAAAGTTTCTGGTTCTTCAAGCAAGAAGAAGAAGTCCAAGGCTCCCACTTTCCCTAGGAGTAGGTCACTCCTCACCACTCAAAGGAGGACTCCCTGCCCAAGAGCCTCACAGAGCCTCTTCTTTCGAGCCAAGGGAAGGAGAAGACAACACGCAGAGAAGGAGGAAGACTTCCAAGGCCAGACGCTCCAGCTCGACCACCGGACTCGATCGAGTCCAAACAGAGGAAACTCAACTCGATCGAGCTGACGGTCGAGCTGACCAGGAGGAGCCCCAGTTCGAGATCCGGGATTTGAATACGATCCCATGCCTTACCAGGAGCCTCCCCGGAGTAGATGGAACCCCTATGGACAGTACGAGCTACCAATGCTCCACCAAGGCCAAGGAAGCCACACACATTTCAACGATGAAGAAGAGGAGGAAGAGGAGCCACAAGCTCGATCGAGTGAGCCACAAGAGGCAACCCCAGTTGCATGGAGTGCTCCTGATGGCCGTCTCCCATCTCCAGACCACGACCTAGTCTCCCAGTTCTTTGGGGGACACTGAGGTATCCAAACACCAACCCTTGTATATACCATTTCATATTTTCTTCATTTGTTCTTGTTTTTTCTTGGTTTTGCCCTCTTGAATCTTTCACTGAATTTTTCTCACACAAGGGACTGTGTGATTTAAGTTTGGGGGAGGGTTCAAGAGATGATTTAACCTTGTTTTCTTTGTTCTTAGTTTTTCATTTATCTTTTGCATAGAAAAACCAAAAAAATCATAAAATTTTCAAAAAAATCCAAAAATATTTTCATCTTTTTGCATTCATATTTGTTAGACTTGTTTAGGATTGCATTTTTCACTTGCATTGTTGATTTGACTTTGAAAACTTGTCCATCTTTTGCGATTTCTTGAGTGCCCTGTTTTTAGATTCTTTTGTGCATTAGGGTGAGATTGATTGAGCAGCAAGAACCATGTTTATCTTGATCATATCGCTGCATGCACATCTCATTCAACCATTGCTGTGATTTGATGCATTTCCCTATTTATATGAACCATAACTTGATCTTTAATTACCAATGCTTGCATTTGATTTCAACTCATGGCTACCACATACATATCTGGACATTCTTTACCCATTTTCATATCCCTTTTGCTTGTCCAGATAGCTGATCTCTATCTTTGAGACAGTTACCATACCTTAAACCTAAGCCTTTTTCATTTCAAACCCCATATTATCTCTTGTGCGAATGTGAGAACCTTTCTTGGCTTTGCTTAGCATAAGGTGTTGTGTTTAAACCGGCAGGGGCAGTAGTTCTAGTTGTCTAGTTCTCTTGGGATTGTTTTCAGGCTAAGTTTGGGGGTGCCAACTCGAGCTCGATCGAGTTGGGTGTCAAAAACCAGAAAAGTGGTAAAAGTTGGGAAAAACCCAAAGAAAAAGAGTTTGGTTAAGTCCAGGGAGTTGGCAGTGTTTAAAAGGGTCTAGTAAAGGTTTGGGAAGTTAAAAAAGGAAAGTAAAAAGGGTTCTAAGTAGAATGAAAAGAAGGCAAAGCCTCAAGTGTCCAAAAAGGAAAGAAAAGTTCCCTAAGTGTTTAGAAAATCCCAAACCGCTAGATGTTACCTCAAGAAGCCTCTCCCTAGGAAGTTCTTAAAAGAAAAGTGAGCAAAGCTCCTCAGTTTCAAAGGCGAAATGCCAAAAAGGGTAGTTAGGATTTTGTTCTAAAAAGCTCTAAGTGTTGAACTCGATCGAGTTAGGATTAGGCGGCTCGAGCTGCTGTTCTTGCATCATCTTTGGTTCTAACACTTAGCCTTCTGCCAAAGCAAAGCCACTTTCTTGAGAGATCCCTGTTAACTAAACCACCATACAAAAGAGACCCTCTTTGTCTCTTGACCCATAAACCCTTGAAACCAAATGAGTTGATTGATCTAGCATGTTTTTGGTTCACTGTTTTTGCTTAATGAATGTTAAAGGGATTTGCTGATTTGAATGCA